GCGAAGGGAGAGCAGATAGCTTAGTCGTGCCTGGCCAAAGCCAGGATCGCTTGCAGGCCATGGCTCGTGCAAGCGCGCTCAAACCTCTACCCCAACTCGTTCATCTCTATCGGTCGTCCAAGATCGTTCAACTCTGTTCATGCATCTCCTCTCCTCCTCGATACGGAAATCTTGATTTTGTGATTTTCCTGAGCGAGCATACCATATTACCAACTTGTACGTGTGCCATTTTAAAGCTGCACGCGCCAGTTCCAGCCATAGTCGTCTCTGACATTCGAAATTCAGGTGAAGACAGCCTTGCAAGGCAGCGTCGCCTCAATTCCTCGACCTCCTGGGGGCCTAAGGAGGGGGAGGGTGGGAATATAGGCCTCTGTGCTGCCAGCTGCAGCACCCCGAGCCCAGTCGTGTCCTCGGCAGCAGTCTCGGGGCCTAGACAGCGTGGACCCCCAGGGAGCGAATGGGGTGTGTCAGCTAGTGCGTTTACTCGTTCTGACCGCCGGCCTGATAGAGTCCGTGTCAGACCTATAGCCCGTGCTAGATTGCAGCTCTCTCGACGGTCTGGGTACAGACATTCGTGCCCTGCAAGTTCTCCCTCAATTTTGAGCCTGTCGCTTTCGAGAGGATCGAGGGGGAGTTTGAGATGGGATAGGGAGGGCAGGAGGTTACATACGATTCGAGCCGCACCACGGCCTACCTGTGCGCCTGCTGTGGGTAACCATTCTAGCTGCACGGTGGCCACGACCACCGACTCTTCGAGACGGAGGTCTTTGGAGCCTCTCGAACTACTGTTCTTTGCCGAACTGACGCTCACTATCACCTTGCCAGCCAGCACGGTTACGGAAAGGCTGCTCAGTCTTGACGTCAGTGGCCTTGTTACGTGTACAGCAGTTAAAAGTATGCCGCTTCAATTTGCCTATACAGCCTTCGGTCGAATAGTCAATTACGAGCCTCCAACCTTTAGTGACAGTTCAGCCGCACTTTGCGCGGCCCAGCAGCTCTGCAACTCTATGTATCCTGTTGAATGCTGTTTGTTCTACTTACATGTTTGTGTGTTGTGCCGACCTCTCTCTCTCTCTCTCTCTCTCTCTCTCTCTCTCTCTCTCTCTAGTAATCACACATTGTCGGGGCTCCGAAGCTCTCTCAGCACCGCAGCCAGATTGCCCGCCTGGGCCTGGGTACCCCGAGGTGTCGTTGGAACAGCCCGTCCCTTGCACTCGGACATGCCTGCCTCGGGTCCCCTCGGTGGTCGGGAGGCTGGGTCTTGCTTCCTTTCCTCCACCTGATTTGGATACCTCCCACTTGGTTTGCCTCCCCCAAGAAGCCCTTTTGGCACTGGAGTTGTGCCCCCCGAGAGGGGGGCTTGGACCAAGTACCACATCTTCTCAGACGGCTCAGTCAAAGATGCTGACGATGAGATCGCGGCATGGGCGTTTGTCCTGGTCATGGAAGACCCCCAGGGATATGCGTATGCAGGAAGGTATGCAGGCAAGGCTATGCACACCTGCAGGACTGTGCCGACCCACGCCCTTACCAGTACTGATTCCGAGCTTGCTGCCATTATCTGGTCTATCCTTCTCATGCTCTATTTGCCCGACTCGCTTCCTGTTCACATCGAATCGGAATCGCTCAATGCAGTGCGAGCTCTGAAGGGCCTCTCAGCCCCACCGAGAGAGGACCCACTTGCCAAATTGACTTGCTCCCTTTGGCTCGTTCTCTGCCAGCGCAGATTTGCCGCCATCTCCCAGGTTAAAGGGCACTCTGGTCACCCTTGGAATTCTTTCGTTGATTACATCGCTGGGCATGCGTTGCTTGATCGCCTTACCACGTCTGCCCTGCCTTGAGTTGTTATTTCGGCTACGGACCTTCATTTGGGTATGGACTGGGAGTGGGTTTACCAGCTTAGCTCGGCGCGCGCCGAGGCCTTCCCTGTGTGGGGAAATGTGATTGAAACGCCTGTGCCATCGTGTGTGGCTGTGGACTGCCATGATAATGGCCTGACCTTGTATACAAATGCCAAAGACTCAGGGGCCCATGTTTCCCTCACCACCGTACAATACAACGCCCGCTCCACCTCTACACGCAAGCGCTGGGGGGCTTTAGGCAGAGCGCGGCGCGCCCGCAATAAAGCTTTACGCATGCAATTGGGCAACCTGGCAGTGCATGGCCTGCACCTCGCAAGTGTTGCTGCCTCCAAGCGTAAGGTCTCCACTTTAATCGTGTCGCTAGTTTTGGTGGACGCCTTCTATAGGGTCATCAAACAATTCGCGTCGTCACTGTCGGGCGAGGAAGAAAAACTGGAAGATGCCCTCCAGAGGGTCCAGCTTCCTCCTGTCCTCCTAGAAGGGGCCAGAACCATGCTTGCGGCCAACAAGCCTCTTGAGGCTCACTTTCCCTCGGCCCACCTGCCCGCGATCATTCAGGAATCCCAGCGAGGGACTTTTTTGCAGGTCCGCGCGGCCAACGGGTATGTCATCCCTGGGGGAGGGACCCGTCCTGGAGCGATTTTTGCCACCAAGTTGTTCAACTTGGTTTTCAGGACAGTGTTGCTCAAACTGAGGGCTGCCATTCTTCATCTCTCAGCGTCGGTGAGAGAAGCATTTGACCAACCCGAGCTGATAGGTGCGACACAGGACGACTGGGATAATGCCCAGCCTGATTTGTCGCTTGCTGACGTGTTGACTGTGACCCTGTTTGTCAAACACGCTATAGACATGCCGGCAGTTGCGCTTTCTTTGGCTGAGGCAGTTGTTGTCTCCTGTTTATCCCTTGGGCTACGCCAGAACTCCAACAAGACAAAGGTTTTATTCTGCTTGCGTGGCAAGGGCTCTCGTGTTTTTTTTGGCCCGAGGGTGGGCCTTTCGTTGTGTGTTAAGGTCCTTTACTCTGAGGCCCTATCTTCCTCGGTGCTGCGCTATGCGGCTGATTCTTGACCCGCGCTCACGCTCACCCAAGCTCGGAATATGTGCACGGTGCACGTGGCGGTATACAGGGCAGCGTTGAATTTAGCAGGTACGAACAACGCCAATGATCATGATCTTTCAGCCCAGGTCCTCTTTGACACGAAGAGATTTCCGCATCACATAGCCATGAGCATTGCGAGATTACGATATCTAGCCAGATTGCTTGCATATGCTCCACTTCTTGCTCGTGTCCTAGGTAACCTCACCTGGGCCGACCCGCGGGGATGGGCCCAACATTTGCAGCAGGATTGTGATTGGCTGTTGTTTCACACTGACCCTCTACGTCGTCCCACAAATGTCACTGCTGAGGGGCTCCGACAATTTGCATTGGCACACCCACGCTCTTTCAGATTACTCGTTTCTTCGGCCATATGTCACGCGAAACCTCACGTGCTAGACGGCATGCATCGGGTTATATGGGAACGAGAGCTCCGGAACTTTGCCAAGGGATCCCCGCTTAGGGATGAGCTGCCCTCCGTTTCGAGGTTGAAGTGCCCGTTTTGCACGCACTCGACCGAGTCTGAACAGGCCCTTATAGCCCACATGGGGAAGTTTCACAAAACACCAGAAGCCCCCTCAGCCATCGCAGTCGGATCGATCTGTCAGATGTGCTTGAGACAGTTCGGAAATGTGGCCAGACTCACTCAGCATCTTCGTAACTCGCCAACTTGCCGTGTTTCATGGAGCAGGTCAGATTATGCACCAGGACTCGAGCATCAACATGAACTCGACGAGGCTCGGCAAGAAGCACGCCCCGTGGCGGCGGAGAATCGAGCAAAGGGGAGGCCTGCTAATTTTGCCTCAGCCCCCCCTGTCCAGCTCGAAGGGCCAGCTGTTGGCGCGAGGATTTTAGTTTCTCGCAAGCAGTTCAAGCAGGATGCCCCAGTTCTGCAGGTTGTTCCCCCGCCCCCTGCACTTGACACTCCCAAACCTCTGCCCTTCCGACCAGTGAAGTACATTCTTCACCTCTCTTCGGGTTTCAGACGCGAGCGAGGCTTCCAGTGGCACCTCGAAGATATATTACTTGAGTTTCCCACGAGTGTTGTTGTTTTGAGCATTGATGTGGCTAATCATGCTACCCACGGCGACCTCACGAACCCCGATACTATCTGTTTGTGGGCTCTTTTGTTGCGTTCTGGACGCGTCGCTGGAATTCTTGCAGGCCCTCCCTGCGAGACTTGGTCTTCTGCCCGCATCTTGCCCATTCCTGAAGGGGCCCCTGGCTGAAGTAAACTCCCCCGACCTTTGCGCTCGCCCCAGCACCTATGGGGACTTGGGTTTCTCAATGCTCGCGAGCGCGAGCAGGTCCGTCTTGGGAATCTTCTGTTACGTACCACTATCAGTTTTCTCTACGAGGCGTGGCTCTACGGGATGTCTGGTTCAGGGCATAAGTATGGACTGCATGCTACATCGCATGGCTACGGACCCCGACCTGTGGAGAGTACCGGCCCCTCCCCTCTCCCTTCCCGTCCTTGCTTGTTCGTTGTATTACTTATGTGCGTTTATTTGAGTTGCAGAGATGTTGGCCCTCTTGCCAGCATCGTTGTGCCGCCAGTGAAGGGTTCTGTTGTGAAGGGATGCCGAGCCCACCCATAAGCTCCGCAGGGCGCGCCACCCTCTTGGCAGTAGCAGCAGAGTGCTGCCCGCACATATTAGGCAGCTGCGCCTTAGGCAGTAACTGGTTTCATGACGTGAGGGAAGGCTCTTCTTTTCCAATTCTATGCTACTCCCTGAATCCTATCTTAAGTGTCCATCGGCTTTAAGCGATAGTACCCCTGCTTGCACTTTGTGCAGGCCGCGCCTTGTGCGCCAGGCAGCTTGTGCATTCCACCTCCGCGGTCTGCCCTTGCTGCCTGCTGTCATTCTTCACCCAGTGGTCTTCTCGCCCTCTCTCTCACCATCATTGGCTTCGACTCTGCCATCCGACCGACCGACCGACCGAGCAGGAGGAGGAGGAGGAGGAGGAGGGAAGGAGGAGGAGGAGGAGGAGGAGGGAAGGAGGATAGACCAGGACGAGTGATGGAGGAGGGCGGAACGGACAAGGATGGAGGAAGAGGATATGGATGAGGAGCAGGAGGAAGAACAGGAGGAGGAGCAGGAGGAGAAGGCAGGAAGAGGAGACTGGCGGGTCGGTACAGGGGGGCCGCCGTGCCCTCCCGTGGATGCTCCAGTGTGGAACGCAGGCAGCCGAAAAAACTGACTCCTGCCCCCTCTCGCTGGGAGCCCTAGGCCGGCTTGAACTGACGACGGTGGAGGACGGTAGAGTGCGGGGGGAGGAGGGGAAGGGCGGAGACTGAACTGACGAGGGTGGAGGATGGTAGAGTGCGGGGGGAGGAGGGCAAGGGAGGAGATTGAACTGACGAGGGTGGAGGATGGTAGAGTGTGGTGGGCGGGGGGGGAAGGGAGGAGATGGAACTGACGAGGGTGGAGGATGGTAGAGTGTGGTGGGCGGGGGGGGGAAAGGGAGGGAGAAGCGGGGAGGGCAGGCGAGAGGAGAGCATGGGGAGGACAGTCGTCGCACGAAAAGCGCTGGGCGCAAGCCGTGCTCCATGACAGAGGGGGGGGGAGGGGACGAGGGAGGCCGAGGAGGGGGAGGGAGGGAATACTGAAGGGGCCCAGGGACACACAAATGAATACACACAAATAAACATATTCCCTATATTTTTCCATATTTTCTGGGTTTTTGTCTTCCCGCCCAATTCCCATATTTTCGTATATTTTCTTCGGAATCGACGATTCATTGTGTCTGTGTGTTTTTTTCCCCTCAAGAATTTCAAAGTGATGGAGATGCTGACTTCTCGAGCGGCTCGATGGCCAGAGGCTTTCACAACCCAATGGAGGGCGGTGCCCTGGAGTAGGTAAATGGAAGCCGCAGCCGCCCCCGTGCCCTGGAGGCACGCGCTGGAGCGTCCTCGGGAGGAGGAGGAGGAGGAGGAGGAGGAGGAGGAGGAGGAGGAGGAGGAGGAGGGGCCAGGACCACAACTGCCAGCTCTCCCCCTTGGGCGCGCCGCGTGGCCCCCTGGGGGCTCCCCGACGTCTCCTCGCACGACCTGTTCCGGCGCCCGCGAGGGCACCGAGACGGGCCAGGAGGGTCCACGAGGGCACCGAATCCACGAGACGCGAGAGGGCCAAGAGGGCACCGGGAGGCCCCCAAGACGGCCCGCGAGGGCACCGAAGCCCGAATCCACCGGTCCAAGGCGCTCAAGATGGCCCCCCAGCCGGCCGAAAGCGCGCCCAAGACGTCTCAAGAGGCCTCCGAGAGCCTTCCCCACAAAAGCCCGAAAGGCTCAACTCATGTATGTTCCTTCGGCTTGTCAATGCTTTTGTGGTCCGCCACGTTTCCAGCACCCGCCGCTCCAGGACGTCACCAGAGGCTCCCGAGACTGTTCCAAAACAGCCTCCGACGCCCCGAAGACAGCCCCAAGACGGCCCAAGAGGGCACCAAGACGGCCCACGAGGCGCCCGAGACGGCCCAAGAATGCTCCAAGACGGCCCCAAGAGAGGCCCAAGAAGAGGAACCCGAACCGAAATTCGAAGCCTTCCGCCCCAAAGAGGCCTCCCAAGAGATCCACACAAGGCCCCAATGAAAGGGGCCCCACAACAGCCCCCCAGAGGCGTCTGAAGTGCCTCCAGGAGGCCCCCGGGAGGCCTCACGAGATCCCAACGAACATCCAAGAGGCCTCAGACCCACAACCCAGGCACGGTGGCGGGATGGGCCGAAAGCGATTAAAGATTCGGCAGGCCAGCGCAGCAGACGGCATCTGGCGCACTGGATGCCATACCAAATGTAGGTTAGGCGCGAAGGCCACCAAAGTACAGACATGGGGCGGGGGAGGGACATCGACCGATTAAACATATCAGACCATTGACTTGGTGGCCGACTGCTCGGGAACATCGCCTTGAAGAAAGAAAGCGACGGGCCGAGACACGTTCGAAGCTGTGGCAGCAGCGACCTCACGCGCGGGCGCAGGCATCGAGAGAAGCGGTGAGCCTTCCAGTGCAGCCACGGCCTAGCCGCCTAGTCGCGTCAGCTGCGTGGCAGCGAGGTGCCAACCGCTGGCAGAACCCTCCGTCAGAGCATCACGCAAGCCGGCACCTCCACCGACCACGGAGAGACCCCAAACAGAAGAGGACAACCGACATCATGCAGGGAAGGGGGGAAAGCGGTGCCAGGAGCACGCGGGGGGACAGCCAAGCAGGTTAGAGACACAGACCCACCGAGATTCATCATCCGAGGGGTGCAAAATTCTGCCATCCCTCCCAAACGCAGCAGCAGTGGACGCGGACTCGTGGGCCACGCGCTGCTCCGTTGCGAGGACAGCAAGCCAACTCAGAGACGAAACGCCTGCCAGATCTGAGCCTCATCGGGGCGGCAACGCTGAAAGAGGCCCCAGCTGACTTCGACCAAACGGTACTGCCAGCGGTCACCCACCGGGCTGCATGGAAGTCACCCCATCCCGTCGTAGATCGCAGGGTGGGTAACGACCCGATACCAGGAGGTGTGCTGAAGTTCGCGTGCAATTCCAACGTGTTTCTTTGTGAGGCCAAAACACAGATGGCGTTCAGTGGCGTTGACAGGAGAAGAGGTAAGAGGAGGAGCTGGAGGAGGTCGAGGAGGAGGGGGAGGAGGAGGAGGAGGAGGAGGAGGAGGAGGAGGAGGAGTTGAACCAACATTTTGTTGAGTCAGCGATCCCGCGCGCCGGCGCGGGCAGCAACACAAGCGCATGCGAGAGGCCAACGCTCGCTCCTCGTGTCAAAGGCCACTCACTCAAGGACACACCAGGCCATTGGACAGCAGCCGAACACCCTGTGGTGGGCGTGTTTTCCACCACCACTACCATAAGTGGGAGGGGGAGGGGGTCCTCCTCCTCCTCCTCCTCCTCCTCCTCCTCCTCCTCCTCCTCCTCCTCGTCCTCCTCCTCATCCTCCTCCTCGTCGTCCTCCTCCTCCTCCTCCTCCTCCTCCTTCCCCCCTCCAACTTATGGTGGTGGTGGTGGTGGAAAACAAGCCCATGACCCTGAGTCCAAAGTATCACTCATAGCACCAGTCGCCACGAGAGGACCGCCCAGCACTTCGAAAAAGGAATCATAATACCGACGGCCAGGCAAAGCACCGGATCGGAGCGCAGGAAAGGCAGGCGGGCCGCAGTAATAGGGATGCGGGCCACAGCCGCCAAAGGCGACCCTCGATCTCCAGACCGCGCAATCTGGCCCCCGGGGCACCGCCAGCAATGGAAGCGGATCCGACCTTCCAGCGAATCCCAAGGTGGGGCTGTCGAACCTTCTCGGGAGCTAGCTTGAAGAAAAAGAAAAGCATGAAGAATGCTGGCGCAGGGCAACCGTTGATTTTAATCCAGAGATGGGGCAGCGAAACTAAACGGGGGAACCAGGACTCTTCGTTTTGAAATAATACAAGGAGAAGGGGCGGGTGCGAGATTCCGACGTCGAAATTCTGGGCAGGCCGGGCAGCGTTCCATCGAATCAGCCTTATCCACTCGGTCACGCTGCCAACAATGGCGATCAGAGCCACGATGAAAGCGAAATCTGGCGCACAACGCGGGCGAGAATACGAAGAACAGCGAAGCCCAAATAGAACGAGCTCTCTTGTTCCACCTTGCGGGGCCATGCAGTCTCGGCGGCAGAACCCTGGAGTTACCGCCGAAGCATCCTGGCGCGGAGTAGCCGAGGAGGGACGCGGGGCGAGAAGGGCTTCGGAAGCCGCGTCACCAATGTCCTTTGAAACCCCGAAGCCCGAATGTGCTTCGCCCGCGTGCCAATCGTAATACTAGCGCACGGGTGATCCCATCAGTCCAAGCGCATGCGAGCCGGGCGGGCCCCGTTTTGCGATGGAAGAGCAGAAGTCAGCAACCTTGCCAAGCACTGCAGTGCAATGAGCAAGGCGAACCTACGCCGCGGTGCCCATGTTCATAAGACGAGGAAGTCTGAACTTGAACCGTTAGTCTCGAAGTCGAGCGCACATGATACGGTTGAACGGGAACCTCGGCCCCGCGAGGAACTTCTGCCGCATGCTAGCCGCGGATGCAGGAGCCACTTCGCACGAAGCGTACAATTGCCGCGGAAACCAAAGCGCCGAGACAGCAAATATCTCGCGCGAGCGACTCGTCGTCGTCAGCCCCAGACGAAGCCTTCGGAGTTCAACGCGAGGCTGTCGACATGTCCGAATCGCAGCGCCCCGCGTAAACTTCCATCCCCGAGGGGTCTGAATGCCGAGGTACCGCGAGCGCCGAACAATCCGAATCGGGCCAGCCCCTGGTCCTAACCCAGCAAGGATGCGGCAGACTAATGAGCGAGGCGACTCTGTATCACGACTCCGATAATCATAGGGCCAGGAAGTCCTCTACTGGGCCCTAGGTCTCGGTAGCGCGCGCACATGATGCGGTTGAACGTGAACCTCGGCGACCTCCGGGAACTTCTGCTGCCTGCTGGCCTCGCAGCGAAAAGCCGCTTTGGGCAATATCCAGAACTCCGTCGCGAACCCAAGCGCCGAGACAGCGAAGATCTCGCACGAGCGACGCGTCGTTGCCAGCCCCAGACGAAGCCTTCGGATGTCGATGCGAAGCTGGCGGCCCTTCCGGAAAGCAGCGCCCGCGCGAACTTCCACCCTCCCTGGCCGATCTGAACGCCGAGGCACCGCGCGCGCCGAACAGAGTGAATTGAGCCAGCCCCCGGCCCTACCCCAGCAAAAGCGCGCCGCGCATGCCGCTGCGCGCGCTCCGTCAGGTGGGGCCGCACTATAGATAAGCATGCATTTCCCGAGGTTCAGTCGCTGGCCCGCCTCCCGGTCCGACCCCCTAGGCAGGAGCGAGATCAGCGGCGGCCCGATGGTCACTCGACGAAGGAAGGCCGAGCCAGATCGTCTGCGCGCGCTAGAACCATCGGAGGAAGCCGAGAGCGCAGCCGCCGAAAGCATGGGCCCAGTGCTGCGGCATCGAGGGCATGCTGGATGAGCCGCCCGGCCCAAGCCCTCAAAATAACCGAATGCTGCGACGTCGTCTCCGATAATCGCAATCGATGCCCTTGCGCTTGAACCATTCCAAAGACCCCGGGATGAACTTGCATCGGCTCCAGGACCTCAGAAGCCTGGGCATCGCAAGCTTCCGCCAGTCGCGTCGAATGCGGCCGCGGTAGCGCCGTCTTGTGATGGGGGAGAGCAGGCGCCAGCATCCTTGCCTGGCTAAAC